CAGAAAAGCTGAGAATAATGTTTCATGTACAACTTAGCCAGAGGAGAGGAAGAAACTGTAATAGGGAGATAACTGAAGTTTTAACTGTAGAGGAATTATGCATTTCCCCTAATGAATTTTGACTGCCCAGTACCCTTTTGTTTAGTCTGAACACAGCTTAGTTTTTTGTTGGCTTCTTGATTCTTTGGCTACAGGAAAGGGAGAATAGGAAAACAAATACAGGATCCTTTTGCAATTCCATTAGAGTAATCCTCTTTGATTCAAACAGTGTTCCACCATTACAGCCTTTAACTTTAGAACAGGCAACTGCAAAGAACAACAAAAGGGGAGTAAGAAGTGGAAGCAGAGAAAGAACAATTATGAATTTTACCTCAGTTTGTTAAACTTGTTGCTTTCCACTGCTCCCTGCTGGCACTTTGGTGGACATCATCAATGCAGTCATGGGCGTTGACTGGCAGGGTCAGTCACTTTCCATCTTGCAAAATATTGTCAAGTCATAGAAACTTACAACTTAAACTCCTGTAAACATCCTGATCACAAATGTGCCTTGTATGTTAGGAATGAAAGCTGAACTTGATTTTTTTTTTTTTTTAACACTGTTGCATGTGCTAGCAGCTTCTTGTCCTTTGTTCTTTCATCCTGGAATGATGAAACCCTGTGGTCTGTAGTCTCTGCAGTCCATCTAGGTGATGTTAGGCTGGTCTTACTGCCCTTCCCTCCTTCTGCCTCAGCTGCTAATGTTGCTACATAGAGTTTGTGTTACAGAAGAATAGATTTTCTAAAAGTCTTCAAACAGGTGATCATCTGGTGGGTACTTCAGAGATTGCAACCTTGCTCTCTGTCAAAGCAGTAGTTTGTATTAGGATTTTTTGTCACTGCAACAGTACTGTGGGTCCATGCAGCCTGTGCAGTGGGATGCAATGGGGCTGCAAGTGTTCAGGGAGCAAAGGATCAGCTTTGGCAGGAATGGACTTCAATTTAAGTGGTAAAATTTAGGCGGTCATATTACCCTTTGACAGCACAGTTCTATGGAGGATAACGTGATTGCACACTGTATTTATCTCCCCTTCTTCCCTGGTCCTTCCTGCTAGTTAACTCCTCCTTTCTTGCAAGGAGCCTCGAGGACTGGAAAGCATTACAGATGGCATGCAAAGTGCATATTCAAGCTGCCTATTTGATATTTTTAGCAGTCTTCTCTCTGATTCAGAATTCAGCACAGCTTACAAAAGTGTTATATCCATGTTTTTTCACAGCCTCTGTGCGTTCTGCCTGTATCCCAGTTACACTAGATGATGTGAAGTATTCTGTTGAAGTGCGCCTCAGCTGGAAGATAGTATTGTTAAAAGTCACAGTACCTTAACTCACATATCTCCAAGCATAAGCCACCTAAGAAATAAGTATTTTTCTGCTATGACAGAGCTCTTAGCACATTATACACAAGGAGGAGCAAAAGCCTACTTAGAGACAATTATATACTTGATGCTAATAAATTTTTAAGACAACTGAGAATGCAGTTTTGCTGTCCTAGGCTGTTACTGACAGACCATGCTTCTCCTCACTGTTGGAATGTCGGCGGGCTTATGCTGCTAATTGAGCTAAACCTGCTGGATTGTGTGCAAAAGCAGTCCAGCAGGTTACATTTGGAAAAGCAGCTTGCACACAGCTCCTTGCTACCCTAGTACTCATTCCTTGGGATTGATTGTTTTGCCACAGAGTGCTAAAGAGGAACCATTAGGAAAACAAGTAAGTACAGCTGTAGTGCAGTCAACCTGAGAAGACCATCTATATTTTGGTAATGTCTGCCTTTACTAGGTCTTACAAAGCTGCTACAACACTGAAGTGAGGTACTGGAATTCAGTGGATTTTAGTGTGACTGATGTTAAAGCAAGAGATGTTGGAAGTTGAGAATGTACAAGGCAGCTTTGTTCTGTCTTGGTGTTTATGATGCCTTTATAGTCTGAATGAGTAGAGAGGCAGCCCAACAGATGAAGTTTGCATCTGAGAGCTGATTTATTTCTCTAACAACAGTAAGGGGCGGGGGGGAGGGGCAAATAGAAGGAAATTCCCTTGGAATACTCTTGCCAAGTCTGTGCTTGCAGGGCAATTAGAGCCCCAGATTTATTTCAGCTGACCCGACAGGTATGGTTGGTGTCATGGCATGTTATCAAAGCTAGGTGGCCTAGTAGTGCTACAAAGTTGCATGAATTCATGTTTCATGGTGTTGCCTAAATGCCTTGCATGGGCAGTTGTCAAAGTCAAAGTATGGTAACCTCAGCCTTCATTAGTGTATCATATAATTTCATGAGCCAGGGAGGTATGGCTGAACTGAGATGATGTGGATGCTTCCTGTGCCAGCATTCTGGATGATAATCAGAGAGAGCAGGCAAATATCTTAGGAATTCCAGTCCTGCTAAGGTAGCTTACAGGAAGTGGTATAAACTCAGAAATGGCTGTATCTTCCTTCCTCCTAAAGTCACAGCCATTAAACTAATTCCCTTTAGTTATATTAGCATGCTGCAGTTTTCAGCATGAGCTCTCAGCATGTTTGTAATGGCAAAGATCGATTTATCATCACCTCATGAGTCAATGTATTTGTATTAACTTGTGGATTTCCCTGATTTTCTGTATGGAAGTGCTAAAGAGAGTTGTGTTGCTTCTCTTGGTAACTCATAAGAGCTCTTCCTTGGTGTTCCTTATGAAAAGAGGCACTTTTAAGTCCTGCTTCTGAGTGTCTCTTCAGCGGGTAGTAAGAAGCTTGTGTTCCTATCTGTTGTCTTTCTGATGTTGGTTCTAAGATGCTCTGCTACTTTTTCCATTTCTGCTTCTCCAGTTGTGGGCCTTCAGGAAACAAAGCGCAAGCCAGGGTGTGGACAAGGGGAATCTTACATGTAAAAGCTCGTGTTTTATTCTTCTATCTCAGCAAAAGCAGAATATTGCTCCTGGCAATACAGAACTTCCTTGAGGCTGTTGGAAATGTGCTAGTCTTCAAATGATAGCCAGCTCTTTTCCAAAGGGGAGAGAGGCCAATAGTTATGTTAATAAATGTCACAAAAACCAGGCGGAGGATGTGTTTCTGTTCTCTCCTGTCATCCTGGTCAATGTATACAGTTTTGAAAATCCGGGCACTCCCTTAACTTCCTGGGGAGATTTTTGTAATTTCTGCTTGTCCACAGGTGAATCTATGGGCTTGCCTGGTATTTTGGCTAGCAAAACCCCCCCAGACTTATTCCTAACCTGTTCTTTCTCCTGCACAGTGTTTATTCCACTGTTCACTAACCAGGTTCTGTGACTGAATGCCAGCCTGCCTCTCAGCTAAGAATTAAATGATAGAGATAGTTTAAAGGAAAACCTTGGGAAAATTGTTGTGCAGCTTATTTGCCTCTCCCTTCTGTGAGTGTTTACATGTTGTAAGGATTCATGGATCTCTGGATAGGGACCATCTTTCTATATTCTAAGGTAATTTGTTAAAGCTATCAGAGAAAATTAATGAGGATCTCTGTTCTCCATCTAAGTGCCAGTTCTTGCTTTCTACATGTTATAGATTCCTCATCACTAATGATTTAATTTACCATGGTGGTAGGGTGGGAAGGTTACTTTTCAGGCTCTGTAGCTGTGTTTTAAAGGCAAAACTGGTCATACCAGAAAGTGAAAAGAATTTTCTCCCTTCTAGTTACCAACAAAGAAATTTTTAGTGACCATTTAAATATAGATCCTAGTAGTTTCTGAAACAAGGTTGGTGACAGTCTTAGAGTACATTTTATAAGGTGCTGGGGTTTGTATTTCCCCATCAACTAGAATACTCCAAATTCACATGGATAATCTGGCTGCCTGCAGCATGAAACTGTTCCTCTTTCCTTCCTGGGGAAGGAATTTAGGCAGCAGCTGGGTATGTCTCCTGGAACAAGTCAGAGCAACCAGTGCCAGTGTACCATGTCTGACTACCTATCCACTGATTTCCATGCACTGAAATGCTTTATTCTTGGAAGCAAAAAGCTTAAGTCTCAAGCCTCATTTCAGCATCTTTTCAGCTTTCTCTGTTGGCATGCTCATCATATGGAGAAAAGACAGGCTAGCTTAGAAAGAGTTTCTTCCCTGGTTCTCAGTATCACTGAGGAATAACCCCTTTCCTACTGCTGTTGCAGAGCACTAGACACTGCTTAAATGGTATGACATAACAGTGCCTGTTCAGTGATGGCTTGATGTTGAAAGGCAGCATTCTCTATTTGTGCATCTATAGCTGTTGCTGTTCCTCCTCTTTTTCTTCTCTTCCTCTCTGATATTGTTGTTTTCCACATAAATAAAATGAGTCAAACAGCATCAAACTTGTAATATCACAATGAGTAAGAAGTGAAGCAAACTGAAGTTGCCAAATCTGTAGTGTTGCTTTTAATGGATTTGTGGTGTTTGTCTGCTGTGGAACTCTTATGTGTAAATCAGCCACGTGAAAAGCATTAAAAAGGCTGAAAATACAGCACAGGAGTACAGATACAGGGAGATGTTGTATCTTGCCAAGGACATTTCCAAATAACGAATGTCTCTTGCATTAAATTAATTTGTTCCCTTTCTGAAGTCTAGATGTTGCTGTCAGAAAAACTATCATGACAGCTGACACTCATGGCTCCCCTGCTGGTAACTCGAATGGGAACCCAACGGTCAGAAGGACCAAGGATATTGCTTCTTACCCTCTAAAGGGGATTGTTCCAGGATTAGGCAGAGTTTCAGCAACTGGTGTGAGGAGAACCAGAGCTACTGAGGGTATCAGAGTCCAAGATTCTCTTGGCACCACTTGTTAATGCTAAAGGACATTTTCAGAAAAAGTTTATCTCTCTCAATAGAGCCCAGCTAAAAGGAGGAGGTTGGAAGACCTGTGGTTTTTGCCTTCTTTAAATATGGCATAACACTTGCCTGATTTGATGAGCAGCTCTTGCTCCTCAGCATATGCTTGACAGTGTTGGTGAGAGCACTCATTTTTTGGGGCGCCTGTGCTTCCTCTGTTCCAGGTTCTCTGAGCCAGACCCCAGCCACACACTAGAGGAGCGAGTGGTACACTGGTATTTCAGCCAGCTGGACAACAACAGCAGTGATGATATCAACAAGCGGGAGCTAAAGCCTTTCAAACGTTATGTAAAGAAGAAAGCCAAGCCCAAGAAATGTGCCCGACGTTTCACTGACTACTGTGATCTCAACAAGGACAAGTCGATCTCGCTTCAGGAGCTGAAAGGGTGTTTGGGAGTCAACAAGGAAGGAGGTGAGTGCCTTTTCTTCCCCGTTGCATGACAATAAAAGCTGACATGGAGTTATGACAAACTCAGGAATGTTTTCTACCAGCTGTTTCAAAAGCGCCACAGTTTGTGTGAGAAAATGAGTGGGATTAATACCTTGCCATGCAAATGTAGTTCATTATTTGTGTTATGGCTCCATCTTATATCCCTTATCAGAGACCTTTGTGCTAAGACTATACAGAAACAGGGCAACAGATGAGCCTTGACCAGAACTCTGCTTTGTACTGTAGAAGTCCTTGGAAACTGCAGTTCAGATCAAGACCCTTCTGAGTAATACCCTGCTAACAGTATTGGGTTGTCTCGACCATGGAGGTTGGATGATGTATGAGTCAGCACAGACCCAGCCTTCTCTGGAGACCCTGTTGACTAACAGATATAATACTTACTTTCATTGCTAAATTCGGCATGCAGGAAAGTGGATGATGGGGAGAGAACAACTTAGAAAGAAAGTACAGGGATATACTGTTTCCCTTTTCAGAGTTAAATTGTACTTCAAGACTGGGGGAGAAATAAGGCATGTGAATAATCTATTTTCCTTTCTGTTTAGTGCCTGAGCAATCAACCCACCCTCCTGCCTTTTCTTGCTTTTTCATCTTCACCTCATCATCTGTTGGGACCTGAACCAAATGGGTATTTTTGGAAATTTTATGAATTGAAACTGTTCAACCCAAATTCAATAATTATCAGTCATTCTTGACTGTGGGCAGACTTGCTTGGCAGGAGAAGGCAAACAGGGAGATTCCAGGGGACTAATATCCTGTGCAGGTGTTTTGACTGTGCAGACAGCTCTTGTTATAACTGTCGTGCTAGTTGGGAAGGGTGGGTAGCTTTCTTTGTCCCATCTTAACATTTCCTTAGGTCTTTTCTCAGGTTTAGCACAAGTGGGAAGGGAGTCAGTACATTTGGGTGTTGGGAAGTTGCATTTTCTAGGTGCTTTGTAAACATCTTAGTTACCATAATAAGCATGTTGCATTACTTGTCAGCTGTAAGAAGCATTCAGCTTCCCTAGCCCAGTGAAAGTTTTTTTTATAGTCATCAGTACCTTACTGAGGAATGACATACCAAAATAGCAATCCTTATTTTTATTACCTTCCCAATAAGATGGATATGCCAAATGAGTTTTATTGCTATTTGGCCTGGAATAAGACTCTCTGGAATCTGCTGCCTTGGCCAACTGACTGTTCAAAATTTAGTTTATGGAAGGGGAAAAAAATCAAAGGTAGAGAAGAAAGAAAATGTGAAACTTTGAGCCCATATTAAGGGGAAAGAAAGCAGAGAGACGTTGTGAGTGCCTGATTGTCCAACTGTTTGTTGGGAACGCAACCTTGACCTTTCATGTTTTCTTCTGATGTATGAGGACAGGACTGTGGTCAAAAAGGGGCTCTGATCTTATTTTGTCATACAGCTCCACATACCTTCTGCAGGCCTGATAAGCCTTGAGGATCAAAGATAAATGGATAAGTTAAAGGATGGTGAGGACTAAAAAGCAGTGGAGGGGGCAGTGCAGGGAGCAGGTACTACTGTGTAGGAAAGAACTGAGGGAAATACTCTAGAGGTGCAGTAAGCAGGTTTGTGATGGATCTTTTTTAAGAAATCATGAAGTTTTCTATGCTTTCTATTCATAAAAACTTCTAAATTTAGAAACAGTTGGTATCTTTGACATGGTCTCCCACTAAATTGGAGAGAAGTGGTTGTGATGAGTGGACTGTTTGGTGGATAAGGAATTGGTTGGATGGTCGCATCCAGAGGGTAATGGTCAATGGCTCAGAGTCCTGATGGACATCAGTGACCGGTGGTGTTGCTCAAGGGTCTGTATTGGGACCAGTGTTATTTAATTTCATCAGTGACACAGACAAAGGGATCAAGTGCACCCTCAGCAGATTTGCAGACAACACCAAGATATGAGTGGTGTGGTTGACACACCTAAGAACAGGATGGCATCAAGAAGTGGGCCCATGGGAATCTTATGAGGTTTAATAAGACCAAGTGGAAGGTGCTGCACCTGTGTCGAGCAGCCCCCAGTATCAGTACAGGCTGGGAGATGAACAGATGGAGAGCAGCCCTGTCGAGAAGGACTTGGGGGTGCTGGTGGATGAGAGGCTGGACATGAGCTGTCAATGTGGACTTGCAGCCCAGAAAGCCGATCGTGTCCTGGGCTGCATCAAAAGCAGTGTGGCCAGCAGGGTGAGGGAGGGAATTCTGCTCTTCCACTCTGCTCTGGTGAGACTCCACCTGGAGTACTGCATCCAGGTTTGGAGTCTCCAGGACAAGAAGGACGCAGATCTGTTGGACCGAGCCCAGAGGAGGGCCACAATGTTGATTAGAGGGATGGAGCACCACTCCTACAAGGAAAGGGTGAGAGAATTGGGAAAGTGAAGGCTTTAGGGTGACCTAATTGCATCCCTCTGGTACCTGAAGGGAGCCTACAAGAAGGAGGGAGAGGAATTTTTTACAAGAGCATTTAGTGACGGAACAAGGAGAAATGGCTTGAAACTGAGAGTACATTTAGATGAGGTATGAGGAAAAAATTCCTTACTGTGAGAGTGGTTAGGCACTGGAACAGGTGGCACAGAGAAGTGGTGGGTGCTCTGTCCCTGGAGGCCAGGTTGGATGGAGCTCTGAGCAACCTGGTCTAGTGAAAGGGTTCCCTGCCCATGGCAGAGAGGTTGGAACTAGATGATCCCTTCCAACCCAAACCATTCTATGATTCTACAATCTTACCCCTTCTCTAACTTCCCCTTATCCTGATCATGGGTGAATGTAGTCAATCAACTAGTCCACGTATTTGCTGTCTGTTTCTTTCTCTGTACCATGGCCTCCAAAGATCTGCTGGGGCTGAGGTCATTGTAGGTTCAAGCCAAGAGCTAGTTGGGAACCTTTTTGATGATGTACTTTCAGTTGTAAACTGCCATCAGATGAAACCAAAACTTTTCATGGAAATGTTTTTGTTTTAACAAAAGCTTTGTTTGAAAGGTTTTTCTGGTCTGGATTGGATGAGGAAGGGTTGGAAGGAGGCAAGGAAAGTCATAATTTCCCCTTGATATACGTCATTACAAATGAACTTAGCTCAGATGTTCCAAATTGTGGTTGGGTATTCAGTAGCATAAGGACTAAAATTAAGTGGGTCATCATTCCAGGTGAGTATGCCTCCTGCTCGGCAAATTGAGCACTTATAATGATTTTGAAAATAAAACATAATACAAATTTTGTAGCATTTGGGATGCTGAGGAATAGAGATATTAAATGTTATGTGTTTTTGTCAGTGTTTCGCCATTTTTTTGTGGCCAATTCCATCCAAATGTGGAAATAGTGTTGCATAAAGGAAGCATAGGGCATAGATAAATCACTACTTTTATATGCCTCTCAGGGACTAAAGAGTCTAAATAAATGAGATTTATGTGTGAGGATTCAGCTGGGGTATTCATAAGGACAAATCTGAATCTGAGCTCTTTCCAGCTTAGGATCAAATCTGTGCGAGGTGCATAATTCTCTCTCTCTTCCCTTCTTCAACAGGTTCTTAATGCCTGTGGTAACTTAATATGTGGGTACTGCCAGCCAGTGGTTCTTCAGTGAGGAAAGTAGTTGTCCAGTCTGTCAGAAACCCTTCCTATTCCATCCTTATGGTGGTCTAGAAAGCTGCTGGAAAATCTACTAGGTCTGGTTGCCACTTTGCACAGCTCTTGTCCCTCTGTTTAAACCTGACTTGTTTCTATCAAGGGCCATTCGCATGGAAAAATGCCATTTCTGAATCTCAGAATGGAGCAGCCACATAGAGTCAGCCTTTGAGGATCTGCAGAAGCCTGCAAATAGTTTCTTAAACTGGGGCAGAACAGGTAGGGAGGGCTTTTAGCTTGGAGTATGCCAGAAACGGTCTTTACCATCATTAGATCTAGGATTGTCTGTTTTGAGGAATTGTGGAAGGAAAACAGACTGTTAAAAGTTAGCATTCCTCAGTGCAGTCTGCACAGCCTCAGTTAAGGGAGGAACCATCTGTGATCAAAGAACAAATTTAGCTCTCTGCATTAGTCAAAAGGCAGGGTCCTTGAGAGGAGATAGACACACACTGCAAAGCTTTGCTGGAAAGTTACTGGACCCGAGATCAATTGGAGTCCAGTGATGTTGGAGAGGAGGGCTGTACATCTGAGTAAGGCTTATGCTAGTTGTGCTGGCTGCAAAATGCTGGAGTTGAGTTTTGCCTCTGTATTCTTCCAAATTCAGAAGAATAAGTCAGCATTTTCTGCCTGCCTAAAGAGGAGCTAAGGGAATAGGCAGGGAAGAAATATCCCTCTGCCAGCTGATGGGAAGTTCCCTTCTGCCAGCTCAGATCCCGTGATTGCTTTGCTGTCCAAGAGCTTGTCAGATGGTAGGTGTTGGGCGTGCTTCACAGGCCATGAGAACTTCTGAGGTGGAACCCAGCCACCAAGACCACAGTCCAGAAACAGGATCAAAATATCTTAATTAAAAACTGTGTGTGTAATTAAAAGCATGTCACTTTCTACTGGATCTGAGGAAATTTTACAGAAAGAAGGAAAAGTAACAGACAATCTGAACAGCAGATTTCATTCAATGATGCTTGGGACCTTTCTTATTGGTATCTTCAGAAGTAATTGATTCTCTGTATGCTTGGGAGGCTGGGACTGAGGTCACTCTATATCACTACTGTGCAAGCAGCTGTGTAGGAGAAGGTAGCAAAGAGCAGTCACCTGGGAAATGCCTCTGGACCAATGAGGGTAGAAAACAACAGTCTGAGCAGCCATGACAAAACTATAACCAGGTAATGACTGAACTAAAAAGGAAATTTAAAGTGCATCTAGTTACAATTAGATTAGAATGCAAAGGAGCTCCACTGGTTCAGTGCTTGGTTTTATTTTTTTCTTGTTTGGATATCCCCCTTTGGAGGTTTGTAGAGGTGCTGTAGTTTGCCTTTAATCTTCACAAAAGTTAGCGATGAATCAGGACATCAGTAATGTATTGAGAATACAAAGCTGGTGGTGGCAGCTCTCCCAGAAGGTGAGAGATTTGCTCAGTAAGTCTGAGGAATCATTTCTTCATGTAAAAAGCTACTGGAGTTTCCTTGGAGCTTTTTCTTTTGAAAGACACCTGGCCTAATCCAGTGTTACTCAAAACAGTGTACTTGTGAGGCTGAGCAAACACTCTCCATTATGAAACTTGCTGAGTGATGGGATGTTACCTTGTAATGCCCAAGGGCTTCCCAAGTATATGTTAGTAACCCACTGTCACCACCTGCCATATTCCTTCCTCTCTTTTGTGTCAACTTTCTGCTCTGTGCAGCGTTGTTGTGGCAGGGTTTTGCCTTCCCTTTAAAGGCCTGGCTTTATATGGCAGGCAGTCGGCTGAAGGCGATGCTCTCTGAGTGCCTCAGTGTGGCTTCCCTATGGAGGTGCATGGGGCTGTGCCCCACCCCGAGCACACCAGCCAGGGCAGGGAGGGATACTCCTGCCTTCTGCACACACCGACTTGGAGCTCCCTGCCTCTTTCCAAAGACAGATAGTGCTCATTCACCTCTTTCTGAAGTCAGATAGTGCTCGTTCCCAGCACCATGCTGTAGGCTTACCTGCTCTGGGTGCTAAAGGGGGGTGAGGGTTCTTTGGGATGCCCTCTGGCTTACCCAGGCCACTGGGCGGGATGGCAATGCGTGGCCTGGCAGTGCCTTCCAGGGCCCCGGCGGCAGCCTGTGAAGGGCCCAGGTTGCAGTTGCCATCTCTGGGCTGTGAGTGCTGCTCGGCCCGGGATGAGCCTCTACCCCAGCAGTGGAGCCTCTGGTGTTTTGCACGTGCGTGGGCGGCTGGGCACAGGTATCATCAAGTTGCGGTTCCGCTGATCGTGCCAGGGCAGGTGGCTGGCACCAGGCTGGTGTTCGGAGGCCTTCGAATAACTTAGTGTGCTTACACAGTTTCTCGTATTAATGGTCTCTAAAGCCAAGAGGCTGTGCTTTGTGACCCATTTCAATCTTGGCCACCACCAGCTTTCTCTCCCCCTCTTGTCCTTCCCAGCAGCTCTGTTCCATCTTGCAGCCCAGCCTCCCCACCCCCGGCTCTTCCTCCACCTCACCCCTGCCCTCTGAGCTTCTGCCCATCTCGTCTCTCCACAGAGCAAAGTGTGCTGTAGCTGCCAGCGTGCAGAGTACTTGATGTGCAGAGCAAGTTGTGCAGTCAACTCATGTGCATGCACAAATCAAAGTCTTCGGCTGGGCAGAGTGGAGGGTGGCAATAGGCTTACTGCTGCTGGATGGGAGCTGGAGTTCCCATTTTCAGCTAATTCCTCTCTGAAATCAGACCAAGCAGCTAGGAGGAAATGTGACATGCTTTTGAGAGCTCCTCTAATCCCTGAGCTCTCTGTACCCAACACATGATAGGAATAGGTTTATTGTTGAGGTAAGAGGCCCTTGTCATGAGCTCCATCTGGTGTAGGATGTGTGTGCCTGTTATAACACAATCACAGTTCTGCCTTTCTGCCAGTTATGAGTTCAGGTCTTTGATTTTAGGCACCTGTTTGATTGTTTGGTTCAAGTGAAAGATTTAATAAACTCGGGCTATCTGTATTGCCTGCACCTTCGCTCTTTCTGGCTGTCCTCTTTCTACATAGCATTATTTTGCTTGCTTGGGGAAACCTCATGACAGTACTTGTATCCTTCCTTTCTTCTTTCTCCTTCCACAGTTCAGTTTAACCTTGTAATTGTTGTTTCTTGCCCCACCAAACCTCCGGATTTCATGACATTCAGCTACTACAACACCAGGTATTTAACATCTGTCATGTCAAGCATATTAGTCAAACTCTTGCATGTGAATCTTAAGAGAGCGTTGGCAGGACTTGCTGTGAGCATGCTCAGAGGGGCTCCTTTGAACCTGCCCTTTGGCAACAGACAACAAGGAGCCCCCTTTGTCATGCCACAGCATTTATTGCCTTTAATGTGGTTCTTGGATTTTACAGGTAGCCTGAGCAGTTTGCCCAATGGAAAAAGACAAGGCCTTAACCCTTTCAGTGAGTATCTTGTCAAAATGGTTCCTTTTTTTCTGTGATACCCATGTATTTCAGAATTAATTTTCCCCTGCTCTCCCATGTTCACAAACAGCAATATAGAAACAGATGGAAACCAAAGTTGTTCGTAAGAGGTGTGAATATACCAACATGCAGCTCCACTGCATCATCTCCAAGTCCAGCTCTGTGTCTTTAGCTGGAGCAGACAGTACATTGCTGAGGAATTAGATAGGATACAGCAGCTATGGGATGAATACTCTCCTCTTCTATTCTCCCTTCTAGCAAGCAATAATTCAGGTGATTTGTTGTGTTTACATTATATTACTCCATGGACAAGTTTCCATGAAGACACTATGCTCTTCATGGTGCAGATCTGCTTTCCTCTGTATTTTCTGGCAGTGAATTGCACCCTTTCATCAGGCATGAACAACATTATTTGCTTTGCTTTTAGACTTGCTGCCTCATGGTTCCATTGTGTGCTTCTCATTTTGGACTGTAAGAAGCAGTGAGCAGTTCTCCCCTGCCTACTCCCCCACCTGTTCTATAGCCATCCAACATATATCTGGTTAGGCTCCTTTTTGTGTTGAAAAGGCCTAGGCTATGTATTTGCTTAAGGACAGAAGTCTTCCCGTACCTCTTGCTGTCCTCCTTACCTTTCTGGGGACCATATGTGGTCCTGGTTGAGATGGACTGAATGGAGAACTGAAGATAAAGATCAACTAAACCTTATACACTGATGTAGTGATGTTTCTTGGTGTGTCCTCAGTTCTGAGTATGTATTTGATTTTTGTCTGCCGCTAAAAGCTGAGCAGAGGTATTCAAACAAGTGCGTACTGTGGCTTCAGACTCTTTCCTAGTCACTCAGAGCGCTCAGTGTAGGACAAGTCATCCCCACTCACACTCTGCGTTGCATTTATGGACATTGAAGATAATCTACTGTTTTTATGAGCTGCTCACTGAGCACTGCAATTGCTGTTTGCAGAGCTGTGCAGTCAATTTCAAATATGACTATCTGGAGTAATTTTGCATTTGACAGTATTTGCCCCCTGTGGCAGGGCATGTTGATCCCAATGAGGCCTTTTTTCCCAGTGATGTAACCTTTCTAATTTCTGAAAGTCAAGTCCATACTTTTGCTTTCTCTTTAGCATGTTTTCACCTGTAATTAATCCACAGAGCTCTTGCTCTGATCCTGTAAGAGCTTTGATTCTTTAAGAATCTTTGATAAGGGACTTAACAAAAGCTTTCTGAAGAAAGGCCTCCTTTGAGACCTGCTTGTCTTCTAGGGGAGGAGACAGCTGGCTGTAGCCGTTGAGGGAGATGGTGGCAGGGCAACCTGGCAGCAGTGGGCTTCTGTGTCAGCTGTGGCAGGCAGAAGAGCAGAGGGAGACCAGTTGTTTCCCTAGACTGCATGCCCATTTCCAAGGAGGGGGAGGAAAGTGGTCGTTTATGTTTAAAAATATGGCAGTCCCTAAGGCTCTGTGTGAATCATTCAGTGCTTTTTTCAGCAAAGCTGTTTCATTAGCCCCTGGTTGTTTTCAGCCTCACAGCTTACTCCGGGATCTCAGCCTTCTGGGGCCATGGCTTCAGTAGAGGCTATTCTGTATCTTTATCAGTCAGGTTTCTTTTGGTTTTAATTTGCCTTTTTTCCTCACTTGTCCTGCTTCTGTTCTGTTTGTCTTTTTCCTCCTTGCCCACCCCACCCTTTCAGTAGGTCGCCTGGTGTAGCAGCAGAAGACGGGAAGGGGAGGCAAGAGCTGACCCAAAGGAAGGAAAGATCCAGTGACAGACGGACAGACACCTTGCTGCTTGTGAGCAAGCATGCAGCATCAGCGACATCCAGCGTAGCAGAAGTGGCACCCAGAATTTTTGCACTTTTTAATAATTGGTTTGGGTTTGGTTTTAATTGCTTTTCAATGCCATAATCTAATACTTTGGAGAGTGGAGAGAAGCAGGATCATGACTTTTTAAAATTGGAACAGCTACTGATGATGTAAAATTGAGTTCACTGGGACTCAAAGAATTTTATATACTGTATATAAATATATATGTAAATTGTACAGTTGTCTTGTACAGGGTTGGAGTCACTGTTCTATTCCTCCCTTTGCTTTTGAAGGCTGTTAGGGCTAGAGAGACACTTTGCCTTTACTGGATTACAGTAATGCATTCATTTCTGCCACCAAACCGTCATTCAGTGGCAAACCTTAACACCCCCATGTGGAAAGGAGCCAGTGTATCAGCATGACTTATTCTTGCAGATGTGCATACAGTGTGCCAGATACCAAATGCTTCTTGAGAGCATCTCAACCCCCTTTCTTACTGTAAAGCCTGTGCAACTCACAATTGTGCTTTTGAGAGCACAGATTTCATGTAAGTATTGCTGTACTGCAAAGCTGCTTAAAGTAGGGATAGAAAAGGGTTGTATTAAGGACATATAAAAGTAGTTTCTGCACCTATTGCAAGTTGGACAGAAATGAATTACAATTGCGTTGCTCTCCAGGCTCAGATGATATACTTAGGAAAGGTGTGCCATGCCTTTGTAATGTAATGCTGTAGGAAGGGTGTGGGAGCTGTAGGTCTAGCAAAGTCAGTGAAAGGAAGTTGTACATCTTCCTCTCTGACAAAGTGTTCATCTATATGTCATACAACAATAAAAATACTAAGAATCCTGCTAAAAGCAGCATTAGCCTGCCTGTTGCTTGCCTGAAGAGCAAAGAACAGAGTTGTCAATGTAGAAAGACACAATCATGCTTATGTAAAGTGTCTGCTTTACTTATGTTTCAACACTACAGCCTGGGCTGAGCTCACTGGTGACTGTCTGTCAGAAATGACTATTCTTGTCCTTGGTGATTGTGAATCCAAGCTTCCCTCCTGCACAGTGGTGTGCCTGCCTAGCTTAGAGCATCCACTCTTCCTAATTTGCTGTTACCAGTGTTACCTGTGTAAGATGACACTGGAGCCTGATGAACAATAACAGTGAAGGCTTGGAGTGAGGAGTCTGGTGTTCTTGGAGGCCACAGGGGCTTTTTCAACAACTAGAAGTTTTACCAAAGTTGTTTCTTTTGCAGGGGCACCCATATCAGCAGTCCTAGGTTTGGGCAGAGTGTGATGGGACAGTGTTTGCTTTATGTATTTCCAACCACTGGCAGCACTCACCTGTTCTGAGCAGCCTCCCACTTCAGACCTGGTGACCCTTATGCCACTTGTCTCTGTTAGAAGAAACTGTAGTCAGAGATGATGATATGCCATGCTAATGAGATCACACCAACAATTGCTTGCAACAGCACTGGGTTACTGTAGAGACTGGAGTCATTCTTTGAGTCTGTATCCCTGTTGCTTTGGTAAAAGATGTTACAACACAGCATCTTCACTCTGTGTCATGTCATCATGAGAATAGTATTAGATAAATACATCACCAAAAAAAGTGTCCTGATGCAGTAAGTTAGTGATTGTTGGCAAAATGGAAAGTTACAAAAAAAAGAAAAGACAAAAAATAGTTCTGTAAGTAACTGTTTAAGAGTAGTAATAACTTCTGGGAAGTAGATTGGAGCTAATCAAAACATAGCTTGGTTGAAAACACCTCTGGTAATCTCTGAAATATACATCACACCACCATAATATAAAGATGTCGTCTCTCTAGCAAGAGCAGATCCTGCTGCTGGATATTCATGGTTTCTCACATACAATGTATGTGCTTTTCTGGTCTGCAAGCTCCCACCTTCTTGATTGCTTCTTCCCTTTTTTTTTTCCTTCCTTTTTTTTTAAATGCCCAGGGCATATCTTTTGTGTGTTGAAATAATTTGGTCTAGTGTATAGTTAGAAATGTCCTTGGCACACTCACTAATTCTATTGTAGGAGTAAAGAATGAATCCAATGTATAAAAAAACCCTCTCCTTTTAAATATGCTAGTTTTAGGAATTTAAAATCTGGCTGCTGGGTTGGTTGGTGTTTGGTGGTTTGGGTTTTTGGGGTCTTTTGGAGGGGTGGGGGTTTTTTGTTTGTTTGTGTGTTTGTTTTTTAATGTATAGTTGCATCAGCAGAAGCAACCAATTGGATGCCTATAGGAGTTTTGTCAGCCAGGCACTGGGGCTGGGCAATGCCCCACAGGATTGTGGGGGGACTACAGAGCTGCTAAAACTCACTGCATCTTTTCTTCTGGAAATGCAAATAAATCACCCAGCCAACACTCCTACCTGTCACATAAATTCTTCTGCTGACTTCCTTTTTCTCATCCTTGTGTCCTTCCCCTCCAAGAGGCCTGCATTCACATGAAGTTTGCAATTAAAATTGGGTCAGTTCTTCAAGGAAGCCAGACAAGGGGTGGCTGTCGATTAGCTTTGGCATTAGTGGGTGTTCATGTTGCTATGCTAGAGCTGACTTCATGGATGGATTGGGGACCAAGCATTATATTGCTCTCCTTTTACAAGACAAGTCCAAGTCCCCGCATCCTGATTTGTGTGGGTCTCTGAGCAGCTTCTGGTAATACTTGTACACTGCCATGGAAGACCCAAAAAGCATGATTGTGTAATGTCCAAGTAGATATTAGGTTATTTGTTCTGGGTTTGTGTTGGAGGATCATGCAGACAGTACTGGTCTTGATTAATACAACCCATGCTATGAGCTGTCCAAACACTGTACTCATCAGAAGAGCCTCAGCTGCCTGCTTCCTCTGTTGCTTTCATTGCCAAAAAACTGGCCAGTCCATGTGGCTGCCAGGCCAAATGTGTCCTTATCTGGTGGTGGTAAGCATTCTTCTGCTCTTCCTTCCATCAGTAGCATTTTACTGAAGCTGGGACATGGGGAGTGTCAGTGTTGTGTCTGGAAGCAGACACTGTGCATGTCTCCTCATCTTTCAAGTCTTCCTGGGCCTCTCCAGCTCTACTTTGAATGACAGTTGAAAACAGCAGAGAAGAGAACCAGGACCCCACAGTGCAAGTCATCTTTCCCTTTTTGCTGATCCTCCAAGGGCATAGTATGTTGGAGGAAACTGCATTATGGTGGGATTCATATGTGTGAAGGCACTGCTTTCCATGGCTTGAGTTTATATTGAACTTACCCTGCCCCAGCACATTTCTGCCTATGGCATCATTTGTTAAACTGAAAGGCATCTGTTTGGTTTTGGTTTTGTAATAAAATAGATAACTTTTGCTCCAGTGTCTTGTGGTGGTTTCTTGTTTAATCCTAATTTCCAGAACTTCTCTCTTCTACATAATATTCTGTTACCCCTGCAGTGCTTAGGAGAGGGAAGGAGACTTTCCTTTTTGCAGAATTAAGTGTCAATTTATGGTTGGGTTCTGCAGTCTGTGATGTTTCTCTCCTGTGTGTAAGCCTTCAGGCTGAATTAAAACATGCTTCAGAGTGTGTCTCTGTGTTTGACAGCTGTCTGATCTATGCAGGCTGCTTAGAAAGACTGTGAAGCTTCACCAGGAGTGTAGAGGTGATTGGAGAAGGTGGGACCCACAACCAGGTGGGATCTTGTAGCACCGTCTCCCCAAACCCAGTGCAGCAGTCAGGCCCTGCACCTTACATGTCCTTGCACCTCCCTTTCACATGGGAGCCTTCATACTTTACTTTTGCAGGTCATCCCTCACTATATGGGAGCCTGAAATAGTATCTTCTAGCTGTTGTCCATAACCTTGTAATCCTCAGAGATGACAAGTAATAAGCCATGCTGGAAAGCTGTGTTATTACAAAACATGCTTTTTCCTAGGCTACAAGGAAGTGGCATTCATCAGAGGCTGCAGCCCCCGGCCCATGACAGAGGAGGCCACACACTGTTTGCTTCAAGTGCATTTGACCAGCTTCCTCATCACGTCTCTGTCTTTTCACTTGTTTACATGTAGCTCTCTTGCAATGAATAAGGAGACAACTCATTTATTGCACATCAAAGGGGAGGCAAGTGCAATCCCAAAGAAGGTTTTCTGCTTGTATGGTAGTCAACAGGCTGGATTGTTTGCAGATGGTCAGAGAGAGCCATGACAAGATTCTTGTCTTTAGATGCAAGTTCAATGATAAAAAAAGAAAATGCAGGGATGAGTGACACCCAGTGTGTATCTGTCAAGAAAAAACTGACAAACCAAGCTACTTTCCTTGTATTACCAAGATAGCAAGTTTTTGGGCTAAGGGAAGAGCAGGAGTTGTCATCTCTGGAGTTCTGCAAGACTTAATTAAAAATAGGAAAAGGGTATTTTAAAAAACAAAAGACCAGTTCTTTGGCCATGCTTCCTATTTCTAGGGTCAACATAAGGTAGTCTGAGAGGCCTTCACCCTTCCCTGGCAGTGCAGTCATTCTGTAAGCAAGTCAAAAGGGCTATAAAGGGCTTGCTTCTGCCTCTGCTTCCAACAGAGATATGGCCAGAAGACTTTTCTTCCTCCTTCCTCTGCTTCCTTTCTCCTTATCTTTGACATAAGTAACAAAATCCACATGCAGAACATCGACCTTCTGACTTCTCAGCAGGCAGCCCTTACAAGCCATTTCAAGCAAAATAACCTGGCAACTGTTCAAAAGCTGTTATTAAATTGGACAGCAGGATCTGTAGAAGTGATGCTCCTTAGTTTGGAAAACACCTTGAAAACAAAGTGGGTTAAGAAATGCTACCTCAGGAACTAAGAGTATAACAGCAAGTGTTTTGTATGGAGTGTTTGCCAGAAAACCTGATACTGGCTACTTGGGGAAGGAATTATGCTTTCTTTCCTTCCCTATCTGAGAGCCTGCTTACTGATTTTAATGGTAGCTTTTGTTTTTCAAAGGAGCTTTGCCTGTGCACACCGGGAAGTGTCTAGCTTTCATTCAGAAAGCACCACCAGCTCTATGCCGTGTGTTCTATCACAAACCTATATCCCCATCTCCTGCAAAAGCATAAATGAACATTTATTCCACATTATGCTTTCTTTCAGCACATTGGGACTGGACTGAGGGTCTTCTGGCTCTCAACCAAGGCAGAGGACCTGAGGCCCCGCTGTGTACTTAGCCAGTCTGCACCCCCAGACAAGGCAGTGGTGATGGGTGGCTCTCTGCTCCCTGCTAGAGAGGGAGACCTGCACTGTGCTGCAGGCAGAGAGGTGCACAGGGTGTACATTGAGTGATGAGGGAGGCAGCAGGTTGTGGCTTCTGGAGACTGAGGTTTCCACACCTTCCCTCGTCTCCGGTGCCCGCAAGAATAGCTCAGGTCTCCTGCACACAACTCACAATTACGTGGCCCTAGTTTGGAGTTCAGAGTAGCAACATCTGGGAGTCTGAAGTACAGATGAATTCAGCTTACCTCACTAAAATAGAGAAATTCAGTCCCAGTACAAGGCAGATCCTTAACTCATTGCTTTTTGGTATGTGAACGATGGACTCACTTTGGTGAAACATGTTCTTCTGTAGCACTTCAGAGCTGTGCTTCAAGCACTTAAAAACTGCAGAGTTTGAATGTCCAGTATCCCATTACACAGTTCAGCTCTGGCCTTGCACAGCACAAAGTGTCACTGCTATCTCCTTCAGTCATGATTCTGGCAGGGACCATGGAAGTGATCCCTGCTGATTTCACCATGTCAGAAAAGAGTTGACACAGCATTTGGCTGAAGAGAGGAAGCTATTTCTGAAGTGACTTGGATGTTCCCACTACGAACTGGCACATTGCGTCAGACAAAGCTGTATGAAGGTGACTGAAGCTGTATTTGTTCACCTGCAGCCCAACACGAATGTGAATTTTTGCATCTCTTGAGCTGTTACAATTGTTTCAAGTGTTCAAATGTCTGCTGCAAGCTTTTTCTCCTCAAAACGTACTTGAATACCAGACCTTTGTAAAATGAGTTAATCTAAAGTATTTAGACTCAAAAAAACCAAGATACCAAATATAAGTGAATTCAGAAAACTGGTGTCCAGGATCTGTGAAGAGATTCCTGAAGTATAAAACAGATCTGGGGACTGATAAAAGAACTGGGGTCAAAGTCCCAATAAGAAACTATCCTGCTCCAAGGGAAATGAAGGGAGCATAAGTAGAGACCAATAAAGTGGATCAAGAGCTTTTCAACAGCCTGAAGCATGAGAAGGAAAAATATGAAATGTGGGATGAGTGTTGGAGCATTGGAGACTTCATGTGAGCTGCCAGGGGATTTAAGGATGGCATGGCAACATCACCTGGCTGAAGAAAAACCTAGAGAATTACAGACCTGATATCTGTATGTGAAAACTTAAAAGAGCAAGCTACTGACCAGTTATTCTCCAATACCCTACATAGATTTATAAGTTTGTAAATAAATGGCAGGAATGGGCTTGTTGAGGTTTCACTGAGGACAAATCGTTTCAAACTAATTTGATTCCATTCTTTGACAGGATAACTAGCCTCGTGGCTAGGGGGGTCAGCACTAGATGTGATATGTCTTGACTTTGGAAAGGCTTCTGGCACTGTCCCAGAAGACATTCTTGTAAGCAAGCTGAGGAAACGCAACCTCTTTAGATTCACAATACG